GGGAGAAAAGGGGAGAAGGAGGGGGGGGGGGGGGGCGTACTCTTATGTTTTGCATGCCTTAGCGATTAGACCATTGACCACGCGTCCTCGAGAGGACGGAGCATTGTTCCCACAGGACCGATCACCGATGGCCAATCGTTCCTTCCTACTTTGCAAAAGGTGGCTCAAAAATGTCTTCCCTAGTCTGTCTATTCTAACAATATCCCTTCCCGCCTTTTCAAACCACTTCCTACTCCCCAGTACAGCTACCGTCCTCTCCTCTCTATTTCATGCCTCAAACATCTTCCTGTACGTCCCTTGTATTTTTCCCAGCTCAGTCATGTACACTTCCCTCTCCTCTTCGTACCACGGGGGGGGGGTACTCTATAACCACGTAAAGATCCCTTGTGTTTTGTGAACTTCGCTCAAAGGGTACTGCACCACTGATTTGTTTTAGACCTCTTTACTAGGTAGTAGGTGGCTCTTCCACTTTTTGCCAGCACCCTTGGGATGCTTATTGCACTTGCACGCTGCTGTACTTGTAGTTGAGTCTGTTTCAGCGGATGCTGAGTCGACGTTGATTTTGGGTGATTTCGAAAACGACCGAAAGAGCACCCAGCAATCAATCCCATATGAAACGCATAAGACCAGTTGTCGTACAGTGCGGCGGTTGGGACTTGCCTATCATACAGCAGTAGCCTAACTCCGCACACGTTCTCTCAAACCAAGACAAAATTCCACAACTCTAACCTCAAGATAAAACAGATCAAACGGTCGGTGCACACACACAGTTGCGTTTCTCAAGGTCTCGATCTTTACAAACAACCATGTATCTGAAGCATATGTAGAGAAGCAGCAAGCGCGGTAGCACGGTCAGATGTGTTGCTGGAGCCGTGGTGTCGAAGGAAGGTTGCAGCTACAGTGACCTGCTGTACGGATGCTGTAGCTGCAGCACGTATTTCCGAAAAAATCCGAAATCAATCTACAGGCCGAAACCCGAACCATCCATCTTCCACTGCTGCACTTTCTACCGTCAATTTTTGACCCAATCTCCCCGAGTGCAGGTGTTTATGCCTATCCCTTGGACGACCAGCAGTTCGGGGGACTGGGAGCACTGCTGTAGCTCGTGGTGGCGTAGTCTTACTAATAGTCTTTTATAGCAATGACGAATGTTTGGCACGTACCAAAATGGATCCAGAACTGGGAGTGTAGCTAGAGTAGAGAGGTAGCCTTCGGTATCACGATATACAACACCATTAGCTGATCTGAGCGTACGCCAATTTGCATGTCGCTACTCCATGATGTCCTCTTCCGATTCAGCATCTAACATCGGGACTCTCCATTATGGTCGTTTTGAAATCCTCTTGAATTATGCAGAATTTGGACAACTTTCTTTCTGAGGACATGCGGCCGGTTCGTAGAATGTGGCGAAACAAAGAGAGCGATTCCGGCAAAAAATGCGTTCAGTTTTCGCCTGACTTTTCCACGAGTGCTTCGTTGCCCCCGGAAACCGAGTCAGCTGGTGCACTAGACACTAGACTGAAGCAATCTACTGCCTGCCCTTCTTGGCCAGTAGTTGCCGTGTTGCATCATCAACTCTTCAGTGTCGGCGTGTGTCGGCAGTCTGCGTACAGCATATCTTCTACCGCCTGCTGCTAGACTATGCCATGGTTGGTGGCTGATGAAAACCTGTCCATGCTCTTGTCAGCTGGCCATCTAAGCAGTACGGCAACCAGCGGTACAAAAGAAAAGGAAAGAGCAAGAGACAATAGTGCAGTGCTTCCTGCTCCTAGCCGGCAACGCCGATGGCGTGTACGTGTAGCATACAAGTACAGAGCATGCAGGACATGGGCTGGTTGCTCACCGCTGCTGTTTGTCCGCTTCGAGGCAACCGTTGCGACGACAGAGCGTCGCAGGATGGGCCCGCCCCAAGCCCCACGCCGCCGCACCATGCATGCTGCCGAACTCATGGCTGCATAGGAGAGGTCCTTCCCGGCTGACGAGAGAGAAAGCACTTGCTTGGTAGATCGTAGGCTGGCTGAAGGGCGGAGCGGCGAGCCGGACAGGGAGTTCGAGGGAGCGTTATGGGTTTTCCGTTTCAGTTTTTTTTTTGAAGAGACGCTTGGCGGCGTGGCGTTGTCGACGTGTCGACCAGTTCCACTTCATTCAAGATTCAAGATGGCCGTCGCCTCTATTGCGGGCCTGCAGGGGGGCCAGCTGCCTGTTCCCCATGAGGACGGAGGCCATACTGGTGATGAATGCCACAACTCTGTACGCCGTTCACGTTGACAGCGTGTGATATTGCATGCATGATGATGAAAATCGCGACGACGGCGTCTCACTCTTTTGTGTGTGTTTGCTGGAAACGGGACGGGACGAAGAGTTGGTGTTGATCTCGGTTGCTGCGACGAGCCCCATGGTCATCGAGTATGTTTTGGAAAGGGAGCCGGTGGCGTTCGCACAGCACTTGGACGCCAGTGGTCAATGTTCCGGTTGCCGAATGGTGGTGCCGGACAGTAGTAGTCCCGGCGGTGAATTTATTCCTCTACGAGGAGACCGTTACGGTCTCTAATACTACTGTAGAGTATTATATTATTCCTTAATTAACTACTGTAGAGGCTTCACAGCTGAAACTTGCTGAGGACGTCTAAAGTTGTGCAGGACGGCCGATGGTCTGATTCCTCGCGCCCTCGGGCGTTCGGATCAAAAAAGTGCGCGGCTCGGAGCTTCGGAGTGAACGGCGACAGCCAGACAGACATTTTTTGTTTACCGTTCTGTGAGACCTCTTGGAGACCGTAGCGGTCTCGTACCTGAATTTCGCAAGTAAGTGTCGACAGCAACATGATGAGCCGAAGCATCATATATATATAGTGCCCGCGAGGCTTTGTTGTGAGCTGCCGGTCGATCCTGAGGGCCATACCCCACGGCCATCACATGGCCCAAGCTCAATTCCAACGAAGAGGTACTAGGAATTGGGGACGTCTTTCGAGTGCGCACGTTGAAAAATAACAAGAAGAGACCGGTGGGGAGAAAATTGTCGTCGGTTATTTGGTGTATGAGTCTCGGTGAACCTCAAAGATTTCATGAAGCTGTGGTTTGATTGTACAACATAACGTGAACCGAGTGAATTTGTTGCGGCGAGTTTGCTTAGGGTCGGCGTGCGCGAGGGGATGTATCGTCGATTCCAAAGCCGAATGTTCGGTTGAGGTGGGATCACAGGGCTTCGTTGCCGTCTTTCTTAGGGGTGAGTTCAGCGGGGCGGAAGTGCTTTTCGTTCTGCCACATCCGGAAGTTGGTCAGGTGTATATATATATATGCAACACGACGTAAGCAACTATTATCTAGATCCCCACACGCAAACGTTCCTATGCCGCACTGAGCCCGCCGTTTTCGCCTGCAATCGCTTGCACGTCATGGCATAATCCTTGGAGAACATTCAACGCGGCGACCTTGCGGCGACACAACGTGGGACTTGTGATTGCTGGCGTCGGTGGAGAGGCTTTGAACGCTTTCAAGCTCTCGCGAACGACGTTCAGCTGCTGGGATTTTTCCTGTCGAAGAGGGAGGGGAAGTGGTCGGATGTAGGAAGTCAACTTCTACCCACGCTTGAACTGCATGATATCCTGCATCCTTGGTGACCGGTAGGGATCAAACGAATGATCGCACTCCGGGAATCGTGTTCATTCGCCGTTGATCGAGAAGCTTCAGTTAAATTGTGGATTGACCCTTGTACACCAGCCATACTCGAAAGCAGAAACAAAATACAGCATTGAATGATATCAACACGGGCGTGACAACACTGTATCCGTCGTGGCGAGTATTTGAACCTCTCCGAAAACTTTCTTCAATATGATACAGCTCGAAAGGCAATTTTCTTGTGCATGAAGTGGGCAGGTTTTCAACACGCCGGAGGAAAACTCACTTGAAGACAGTATATAGCTTCTGTGAGGCTTCGGGCATCAAGATCCGCATCAGTTCCCTCCTCTTGCACGCAGGGACTTGCCTATCATGCGGCGGAGAGGGACCACAATGAGCATGGGGTGACTGTTGAACAACGTCATGTAGGGGGGCATCAGAATGATTTCACGACCACAGCGTAGTTACAACTGTACCAGCTGAGCGCAAGAGGGGCTTTGAAAAGCATACCAGTAGCCTAGCCCTACAGCGAAACGCTTCGAGTGACGTTCCGTCAAATCCACAGTGAAGGTTGCTCTGCCCCCTTGTGGACAACAAACACCAACCATCACGAGTGAGTGAAGCTCAACCGTAGTATGTGCACCCCAGGTTGTAAAGCTATCCTACTTCTACTATGTACACAGCCGGAGGCACCAACCATGGAGATCGTTCGAGCTACCTGACGAAATTTCATCCACACCATGCGATGGGGGCCGATAATTACCACCTACCCTGTGCACCACGTCCTTGTACCACTGCTCCACGTCCGACCTCTCCCTCTCCAGCTGTGACGCCAACGCCTCCAACCGTTTCATAACCTCGGGAGACCTCTCGGCAGCAGATGTCGGCCTTACTAATGGCGAGTTAGCAAAGGAATAACCCTTGGCTGTAACTCCACCACCGACAAACGCATTCCCAGTCCCGTGATGTTTCCCGCCATTGGCCGATCTGGACCCTCCGTCATCGACTTGGTGGGCGCTAGCCTGCCGTCTTGACGACTCCAAAACCTCTGCGTCATCCTCAGCGAAGAAACCACCTACAGCTGTGGGTTCTACAAGCCTCTGGCGACCATAGTCTTCCCCGTCATCGACATCCCGAAATCTATACGCCTCGGCAGTGTTACCAACCCTGGCTCGACGGGGGCTCGTAGGCAAACTTGGCGTGCCACCATGGTGTCCGTCTTCGCCTTGCATAGCGCTGAACCCAATACGCTCGTACAGTGCCGTAAGAGACGGGACGGGATCTCCGCCAGTACGACCAACGCAATACGCCTCTTTCACAGCGGCGCGAATGTCGATCCCGTCGTCTTCCAATGCTGGGTTCCGCCGGGGGGTAGCGTAGCTGTCTCTGATGCTTTGTTTTCGCTGGAGTTCGCCTAGTGCTCTCGGTACAGGTTGCCCCGCTGTTGGCGTTAGGGATGAGGACGTCCCTGCTGCTACGAGCTCTTGGTTGACATTGAGGATCGAATCCAGGTACCGGCTAATTCGAATCGTGGTACTTTTGGCTCTATGGTGCTTTAGTTCGGCGGACTGGCGAGAGGCACGCTCGTCGTCTAGTGTGCGCTGGAGCTTCTGCAAGTGTTCACAGCGCAGAAGACGAAAAAAATGCAGGGAGGAATTGACTGATTGCGTTTCGCAAGGAAACACGCTACGTCGCGAAGTGTCACCTTGTCGCACCGGCGCACGCTCTCCGCGCTAGGTACTGCTGTGCAACCATCGGATCTTGACGCTTTTTTTCTTCTCAGCTGGCAACCAACGTCAGCTGCGCAATGTCCTCACCTCCAGTCTTCTGGCCAAACTGGTCAGCTGAGAATCTGCCGCGGCTGTTTCCCGACGGGCGGTTTTCCGTGCTCGCGAGCATCGGTCTTTCCTAGCCTGGGCCTGCAAGCGTGGGCAAGAAAGCACTCAATGTCAAGACGTCAAGTTCATGATCCACAGTTGAATACTCAGAAACTTGATTGGACTGCAAAGATAGACACTCGTTCTCTGGGTGATAGGTCTACGACCAAAGAAAAAGAGGAATGGTCCCTATGTAGTCGTGTGTTCATAGTGATATTGGGTTGCTCACCTGGACCAAGAACATGAGCTGAAACGCGCGGCTGGTGCTTATTTCCTTTTCAAGACGATCGTAGCTTGGTAAGGTATGATAGCTGCCTGTTTTCTACTCCACGTCATCACCGTTCAACTCACCCACTGCTGTGCGGTTTCGACGCCAAAGCTACATAGGGTATTCTAGTCCCATGTATCCTGGGCGCCAATCTTCACCCTTGCGTAAATAGTCACAACCATAAATACGGCATTGTAAGTAATTGCGTGACGACCACATTGGGGGTGGACCGTACGTAGTTTTTAGTACCAGTATCGGGTAAGTCTACAAGTAAACAGTGCGGTTTCGTGTTTTTGGTGCTTACCACGAAACCCATCTCACAATTTTTTCGCATTCCTTGACCCGCCTCTCCAAAATAGAAGCCTTAGCTTCCGCTGCTAACTGTGCCACATGTGAGTCTTGTCTACGATCGCGTGCGGTTTCACATGTTTTTTGGAGCTCCCGCTTCAACTCCTGAGATTTTTGAAGTGTTGGGAAAAAATGGCACAACGTGAGCAACAATTCACCAGGGATGAATGTGCGTTTCGTGGAATGCGGAAACTGCACAGGCAGGTTGTGTACATGTGAAGTATGTTTGCTTCGTCAGCACCAGCATGTAGAGGAGCATCATATGGTTTTTCGGTGCACGCTTGGTTTGCATGATGACATGGACCACATACATACATGCACTCGGCACTCCTTGTATTCTCGTCTCATCTCATCATGTCCAGTATTACTGAGAAAGATTTTTCATCTGGAAGCCCATGAGTACATGCCTTCGCCACGTACACTACGTCCATATCGTAGCAAAGATTGGCTGTTGTAGTTTGCTTCCGAAGTCTCCGTTTTGCACCCCGTTCTTCGACCCACTCGCCTCGGTCTCCTCTAGACGGTTGTCAACCAGTCTCTTCTCGGCGAGAAGTCGTTCGTATGACAGACGAGACGCTGCACTTTCCTCCTGGATTGTGAGGTTCTGTAGCTCCTGCGCATGCTTGAAATCTTCTCGGCGCTGCATCAACTCGCTCTTGCATGTTTGCACTTCTTCGACAGACTGCGTACGCTCGTTCTGGTACCGTGAGGCAGCGACGACGGCATGTCCACATGTATGTGAGCACAACTTGTACTTTTTTCGCTCTCTTCGTCGGCGTTCGTTCGTCATGATACACATTCCACAATTTTCGCGGCCACAAGCTTGCAACCTACCATAGTCCAAAGGACATCTGCCATATCACAGTCACAACGCCCACATACTCTTTATACTTTGGTCTCCCTACAGCACACAGCCTCTGTTGGATCTATATTGGTTGCACTAGCTGGTAAGATCTTTGTAGTCTATGTACCTGATTCAGCAGAACATACCGGTCCACTTCTTCAGTAGAGACCGCCAGTTACACTCACCTCCAGGCGCCTAACTTTGTCCTGGAGACCTCTTAGTGCCGCAAGAACAGCCCTACTGCTTTGAAGCTCGTCCATATCCGGTGGTGTTTACTGCAACCAACACACACGGGGTTCCGGAAGCCGCAGGCGAGAAACACATGAGGTATCACAGCAGTTACGCCGCGTCGAACGAACGCCATCTCTTCATTTGGAAACCCCGGAAGAGACTGTAGTTTCACCGCACACCCGACACACCAACCTGCCTGCCTCCGCCTGCTTGCCTGCTGGCGCCCATCTCCCTTGCCCCTTCTCTATTTTTCTGCCCTTCTGCTCCAGTCTTGTGAATTGCTCTACGACGCAGCGGCTCTGGTGAGTGCATGTCACACGAAAGGACGAAAGCGATGCAGGTTTCGGCACACGTGAAGAGGTTAGATATTCCACCTCCCTCCGGTATGCTTCTTGTCCCGTCTTACAAACCGATCCTTGCGCACTCGCTGGCCGGCTGCTGAAACGTGGCACAACAGATAGCCCTCCTGCAACGAGAAGAAGGGTTGAGAGGAAGGCGGGAGATCGATGTCGTCCGAGGTGGAGGAAACTCTCAAACGAATCCAGTCACACCGGGGGGTTAAGGGCGTGCTGATCTTGAACAACGATGGGATCCCGATTCGATCCAACCTCAGCCAAGAGGACACCGACACGTACTCGGCCTTGATCAGCCAGCTGAGCTTCAAGGCAAATGGTATAGTACGGACGCTGGACGAGGCAGACAGCCTTACTTTTTTGCGACTGCGGAGCACAAAGCACGAGATTATGGTGGCGCCAGACAAGGACTACATCTTGATCGTCATCCAGAACCCCCACTCGAAGTAGCTGGTGATGCTGTTCTCTTGCTCTTGCCCTCTTAGCAGCCCAGGGTCGAAGCAGTTTGACGAATGGGTGGTGGGGACGACTCTCTCTGTCTGGAAGGAGAAGGCCCTATTGTGCGTGGGGTTCAGTTGTTCTTGTCGTTGCCGTAGAATAGGTCGGTTGTATACACCAGTTTCGAGTTGTTCTACAGTCAGGATTGCAACAATATGTTTGTACAAGTAAAATGGTGTGGTGTGTCCTCGTGAGTGAATTTGTGTGTGTTCTCGCGTCAGGGATTCAAGGACGCACCGCCGAAGAAATGGTGGGGAATTCCTCCTGCATGGCCCCGGTTGGTGCATGGATGTAAGCTGACACCCAGAATAGATGGGACGAAATAGCCATTAAGAAAGGCTGCACATGCTGTGGTTGTAGCATTCCAACCCGGGGCTTCGGCTGTTTCAATGAGCGTGTCTGAGCAAAATCGGACGTGTTTATCCGAGGCTCGTCTACTCATGCAGCGGCGTGGAGCCTAGAAATGCGTTTTGCCCTGTGCCTATCATCATTTCTCCCACACACCTCCACGCTGTCCACACGTTGTTGGTTTTGAAGTTTGGCAAATTTTTCACATCGTTGCCCCGAGGCGTTAAAAGTCGCCACGCCGTCTCTTCTTGCACGATCAATCGTTTCGCGTTCTTTCTAGATAGATAGGTGTACGAGCTTTGGAAGAAAGCGTTCACTGCTCTGGTAGTGCTGTTGGCCACACACAGCGCGGACAAGCATCATTGGCTCCCGCAGGGGGAAAAAACGTTGTACCCTCGTTGTGGTCCACCTCCAACTCTTCTAGACAGATGCGCACATTGCTGATCGGCCCGTGTTTGCTTGTAGCGGTCAACATCATAACGCCCGTGTGTGCTCCGCATTGTTCTCTTTTGTGTGTTTCTCAGAGGTCAAACAGAATAGCTGGACACACAGGTCCGCGCAGAAAAGTACACGATATGTATGGTATCCTTTCTTGCCATCGGTCCATTATCTCGGCGTTCAACACCCTCAACCTCGGGCAAAAACACCACTGCTGCCACCTAGCCAGAACGAATTGTTTTTGCCTCATGAAAGAACGACGTTCAGGACACCCCTCCTCATGTCTCAAGCCCCCGTACAACAACCGGAGGCGGCAAGATTCGGTGTGACCTATTACACCAGCATGGAGACACACAAGCTGTCGTAGGCACGACCTGCAGCATCCAACAAGAGAAAACTCGACCGTGACTTGACGAATGAACGATATCACACGAACCAACCTAGAAAGCAAGCACCTCGCGGCACAAATGAGGTCCAACGGGGAAATCTTCTCGGAGCCACAGAGCCATTGCTTCACTCTACTGATGGTGCAACCACAACACCCCCCTCACGGCTTCCGATACGGCACAGCAATCTCATCCCCGTCTTCCCGAACCTCTACCGTCACTGGCAGTCTTGATTCCAGGATCCGGCTTTCTATGTCGGTCAGAGACTGTCGCACCATGCTTTCGACCAAGAGCAGCTGATCGTTGGTCCACTGCGAAATCGAGACAGACAGGACAGGACAGATGACGGGTCAACGACAAAACGAGCCGCAGCGTTAGCAACACAGCAGTAGGACCACCACACACTTCTGCGTTAAAAACCAAACATCATGCGTAAATTTTACGTAGGCGAGAAAAGCGTTTCAACAGAGCCCCGAAAAATGCACTTCGTCACGGTTGCTCACAGATGTGGAACCTGTCGCAAGTGTCGACGGTGCGTCCTGCAAAGCACGCGACGAAGTGTTTTAGTATTTCTTCCTGCGCTGCCGGGTCTCTTTCTTGGCAATCTTGATATTCTCACACTTTTGTCCTGGCACATAAAACTGCGAGGGTTTACTCAAATAGAGAGCGTATAACCTATAGGAGGGCATCAGCATCACTGCAATTCCTACCGTCATGAGGAACCGGATGCCCATGATCTGGAGCGGCAGCGGGAGATTCACGATGAACGTGAGGCGGTGGTAGTTCTTCCACAACACACCGCTCGTCAGCACGCGTACGATCAGCACGTGCAGCAGGGGGCTGAGAAGCCACAACTGATGTCAAACGGAGCAACGTCAGCAGTGGCACGGATAGTCGTGGGAAGGAAAACATTGTTCGTTTGGGGATAACATGCCAGTAACATGCAGCAGAGCAGTAATAAAACAGGGTGACGCCATCGCTCTTCGGATCTAATCGATCCAACCAATCGGTGAATAACAAAACACATAGCCACAGTGGAGATTTGTTTGAGCGGTGTTATGGCCTGGTCATCTCTACATGATGCGGGAAAAAAGGGTCAAAAACACGCTGCAACAATAATTCCCACTACGACAGCCCTCACCACCATGGTCGCGAGAACGCCAATCGCTACTCGTGTTGCTCTCGAATTGTTGAGTATCGCCGAAACGGCTTTCCCTGCGCCACCGCCGTACGCCTCGTACAGCGCATAGTCGATGGGACCCTGAATTGAGTTGCGACACAATCGCGTGTTCCACGACGGGAGAGCGGGATCTGTGAGTTTACGAACACCCAACCACACGCAGAGATATCTATGCAAATAAAATCACACACACAACAATAAGCACAAATAAAACATAACGAAAACAGGAAAGGGATATATAGTGATCTTGCCGGTGGTTCTCGCCGAGTTTAACAAAACACTGCTTCGGTTCTTGAGAGCAGCAGTTTCCTGTTCATGGCGCAACATACTAGCGCTGTCAAGCATGAAGTGCCGAACATGAGGGCTGACCTTACTACAGCTAGAGCAGCCCGAATCCCATTCATGGACATAGTTTAGCGACATAGAAACTCTTTGAAACGGACACTGGGCACGAAAGCGAACCTGGCACGTGGGGCAGTTCTTCCATTTGGCGGCCTCCTTTCTTCTCTCCGAGTTCAGCGCCGAGAAACTAATCCACTTTTGCGTGCCTTTGCATTTGCAAGGTGCCACCACCTGGGGTCACAAACGTGACACTTGCCGTTTTAGACGGCTGCAAACAATGTCACATGAGGTGCATTCTCTACTACAGTTTGCAAAAGGCAGCACGTCTAGAGAGAATTATCTGCCAGGGGGACGCACTTGGTGTTTGCCTGCGTCTTCCGCTTCTCTATAAGCTTCCGACGAAGGTAACTTTTTCGTGTTTGCGTGCACGCTGGTTTTGCAACATTAAACTTTTGCGCAAGAGCTGGTTCGATTAGGAGTTGTCAAACTATCGCACCACCTGAAAATGTTCGACCGAGATATCGAAGGAGAGACCAAAACCCTTCCATCTTGGCGAAAAGAGTCGAAATCTCGTGGATAAAAATATTAGGAAAAACAAATACACACACAGAAAGAATATGTAATTGGGGGTCAGTCTGCACCTTTCGGCATATGTTTGCCACAACATGCAGGGGCAGGGTTACACAGCAGGAGGAAGGCGATGAAAAATCTTAGGTAAGTTGACAACACTCGAGCCATCGTCCGCACGCCACGCACAAGCAGTTAGCAGTTAGTTGTGCAAGCATCTGCTGCGGTAAGACGTGGCGTGACATACATTGCTTCGAGCCGACCCTAACCCTTGCTCCGAGGATCACCTCACTCACCGCTTGTACATGACCAACCGTACGGCACTACGGGGAAGAATTCGCAAATACTCGCCTTCTTGCCAACCTCTGCTTCCACATACATCCGGCAGTCCATGCGTCGCTCCTCCGTGCTGACCGCGCAGAGAAGCCCTCGGGGCGACGGTACAATCTCCCTCAGTTTGTAGCCCTGGGACGAAAGAACACGGAACTATACTCTTTCAGCGGTGCTTTAGAAAGGCGCGCAAAGGTTAAGGTTTGTATATCAACTGAATTAAGGATTCCCCAGGCCGGCGAACGTGTACATCCACACGGGGACAAACACACAGCAGTGTTGTACAGACAGGTACACCTCTTCTGCGGTCCTGCGGCGCCACGCCGGTCCGCCCCCGCAGACCAGGACATTTTGTGTTCCAGGCCGCGGAGACGAACGTGTTTCATTGGTGGGTAAGCCATCGATATTCATCTTGGTTTAAACATTGAAACACACCATTGGCAGCGCTCTTCACTGGACCGGCGGGTGTACACCAGGACTGGGGACTTGCTTGCGTCCACCAGATCAATAGCTTTTGGGGTTGTGGTTGGAGGTATGCATATCATATGTAGACACGAAAGAAAAACACACTACTCTGTATAAATAGGAGGTTTCCAGCCCTGAGGCTACTGCACAATTGGACATGGGTTAGTCGATCCTAAGAGATAGGAGAACACCACGGCGCTAGGCCTAACTACAGTAGGCCTAACCCGGCCCTCAATCCTAACCCTAACCCACACCCCGAGCTTGGTTGGTGTGCATAGGTCGCTGTACCGAGCTACTACAAGGTGACTACTCCCTCGATGTCAACAAACACGAAACAGAGTAGAGTCTAATAGAGCGGGTGGGAGGTGACAGCATAGATGATGGATGCAGCCACCGAGAAAATCGCGGGGACAGAAAACGGGGGCTCTTACTTCTTCTCTACATGACTCTACGACAACGTTCCACCGTTATGATGTGGCTGCTGCTGTAGTAGCATCGCTGCCCATGCGAAGTAACTGCTGTGCCACGAGGCGCATGCTGTAAACTCGGCAAACATGTCGTGTGTGATTTCATTCGCCTGTTTGGCCCCCAAGATCAACCGTGTAGAGTGTCGTTCATGAGTGTACCTTTTCTGCCAGAGGGTTTGAGATCAAAGCCGTGCGCGTCTGGTACATGCACAGCTGATGCATCATCCACTCCACGGCTTTCTCGTCGTATAGCACAGGTTCGACCTCCTCCTCTTCTTGCTCCTCATCCTCCTCTCCGCCGGTCATCGTCTCCTCGTCCTCGTCCTCCTCCTCTTGGCTTTCCTCGTCCTTCTCCCCTGCCGTCTGGCGCATCGACCGTCCTCCCCTCAGCGCGGCGGCAATCTTCACTCCCAAGGACCGCTGTACTCCACCTCGCAATGGTGTCGTCGTCGTTGTCGTCGTCACTTCCTTCTTCTCACACGGGGCAAGCTCTGCAGCTACCGCAGCAGCAGCAGCAGCCTCGGCTGCCGCACCTCCTCTCCGATGTGCCCATCCTGCCGCCCCACGCCTCGTGTGCTGCACATGACGAGATTGAAATGGAGCCACTGCCTCAATGCTACCACGACCAGCTAGCAGGGTGCCCAATACGAGGACGAACGTCGAAGTTTCCACGGGTCGTGGTCGTGCCATGGATGACATGATATCGCTGGGACGACACGTGTGCTGCAGGCCGTGTGCGGTGCGGCTGCTGCCGCTTCGGGGGCCCGCGCATGAGATTGCGCTACTGTTCAGGGGGGGTGGGGGGGGGGGCTTCACGTTTTGGGTTGTTTTGCGACGAACCTGGAACAACGAAGCCACGAAGCGACGAATTTCTGTCGAATGGTGTGAACGGGGTGGGTGTGGCGTGTTCCTGCGTGCGTGGCGATGCGTACGGTAGATAACAGCAGTTATGTGAGCTTGTCGCCAAGGGTCGTCGCGTGTCTGTTACATATGTAGTCTCTTTCCCACTCACTGTCTCAAAATGCTCATGATTTTATTGCTCGTCGTCTCTCGAAATACCGCGAAGGCTAAAAGATACTCCTACATAGTCAGTCGTTGTTCAGCGTCTCCTGCCCCCCTTTTCCTAAAAACCAAGCACCCTCAACAACCGTAGATTTCCCCCCCCTCTGTCTGTCGTTGATCGAGGGAATTACTCCACCCCCCAACCCCGGTCAACCTTGATATATATGCAGATAACACCGTATCAGGTGGCCATTGTCCTATCCAATACTACTACTATTATCGCCTCCCATGAGGATGATCATGTTTGCGCTCGCGGGTGGGCAGCGACGAGAAAGACGAAAAGTACTCAGAGCATCGTCAAGTATCGAATTGCCAGATTTTAAAGCAGCAGCTAGCTGTTCACTCGGGAAAGACAGCACGAAAACATTAAGAAGCCAGTCTCGTACAGGCAGGCCACGCACCTACTTTGATTTGTCGTTCTGCGGTACGGTACCATCGTTGCAGGACTTCAAAGCGGACACAGACACGGTTCAGCAGCTTTACCAGTCGCAAAGCCACAGGTTTGTTGTTCATCCGAGTGGTAATCACTTGCGTTGACCAGAATACATATCGGCTACACGTACACGTGCCAGCAACACACCTCAGCTCCTAGAGATACTCGACAAACACATCGAACGGGTCATGGGTCTACACATGATGAGGCACCGGATAGCTGGCCCAACTTACGCATACGTTGACGTCAAGATCCCACATTCATTCATATAGGCTATTCGACGTCTATCTGCGGGAAAAAGCGAATTCTGCTGCTGTCACGCAAAAAATTCAACCGCATATGTCTAATATAACAATATAACCCTTCCACACTCACACACTCGGGTTGAACAGAACTCATACAGCAACAACAAGGAGCAAAAGATTCAGGGCTGTCATATTCTAGCCAAGTCCAGCTTGTTGAGTGACAAGGGTGCACCCTGCCGCCAGGAGCGCTTGAGGCACGTCTTCTCTTCGCATGTCCTGGAAGTTGCCGAAGGCCAGGTGCGTACCCAAACATGACAAACACGTGCGGGAACAACGTGTGCAGGAAGGGAGGTGGGAGGGGACCAACGGTGAGAGATTCGTAGCACCATACTTGTATGGTATGCATAGGGCTCCCTGTACAAGGCCCCGACAAATGAATCTACACAGACGAAATATTCAAGTTGCCCCATACCCTAAAATAGTGCCGAGTGCCCGGCTTATGGACGGCCAGCCCCTTGGTGTTGCTGTGCGACCATTACAGGGACAACAATAACCGTCTACCGCAAAGGTGCGAGTGCGTTATCCCACACCCACACCCTAGACCGACTTGCGGAACTCCAAGCCTCCTCACGACTATAATAAGAGACTGCGAACAATGAATGCCGAAATCGATATGTTGGAATTCTTGTTTCCTCGTGTGTGTTGGTCAGTTTCCGCTTCTGCTTGGCTGACTAGCGTTGTGATGACGATATTTTCACTTCATACTTCTGTAGCGCGTTTGACTCGATAGCATCGTACGCACGATAAATCATGGATGGACCTCATCAACGAATCCAACAAATGCACACAGCCACGAACAACTATTATGCACCGCATGGTTATCCAACTACTCGCGCGTGTGTGTCACGTACACTGCTGACATAATATCCGAGTAAAGGCAACAGTATTGGTTAGCATACAACTGCCGGCCCGTTCATTTTCACGAGACCAAGAGGCTCAGATTCTGGTAACATGCAAGAATGGAGAAAGAAATTGGGGATCAGCCGACGGCAGCACGCTGAATCCTACCACTTCGTACATGGCAGCTTAGAGTTAGACTGTGATCAGTTGTAAAGACACTGCTGAAACGCTTTGATCCTTGCTCAAAATACGTCCACCACACATGTTCTCTTCTTGTTGGCCACGCCCCCCGGTGATGGCTGACTTCGACGCATGAAGCACGCAGCATGAAGCACACTCGATCTCTTTAGCGGGTGAAATGGAGTGTCAGGTATATAGTCTATCGCACCCTTACACGATGCGCAGTGTCGGCTACAAATGAGTAGAACTTTTCCCGCGCTCGGGAGCGACTCGTTCCTCTCTTCTTACCTCCTGCGTGTGCTTGGTCATGTCCTTAAGCTGGACAACCCCCTGCTGCACCTCCTTCTCCCCAAGGATCACCATGAACGGGATCCCCCGCTGCAAAACCTGCTCAAAGTTGAGGGTGGTCACCACGAACAAGAGTCACCGGCGTCAAATGTTTCAGCATATCCCGCAACACTTCGTCTTAGGGCAGTTCAACTGGCGGTGATAGTCTTCTGCTTGACTGGTCATGGCAAGATTCTTAGTGCAAAAGGTATTGAATACAGCAGTTTGTCCTCTCTTGTGGTGGAATACGACTGCTGTCATTCGTACAACAAGCACAGGTAGATCGCCATGCAGCACATGTACGAAGAACACGTGCAGCTGAGACAGCTGCAGTCAGAACAATAGCGAGATGACGTACACGAAAGTACTGAAGGTTGTGCCATAGATAGCTTCACCAGCTCAGTCACCAATTCTTCCTCCCTATCGAGCGCACCAACGTGTCCAAGAATTCCGCGAGTGCACACTTGCGAAATCACGCGACGATCGTCTCTTGTGACGGAAAACATAAACACATAAAACTGCAACACAACACAACACAACGTCCACATCCTTCGGCACACTGACCTCGTTCATCTGTTTGGGGAACTTGGGGTTGTCGAGCGTGGAATACTCCGCCGAGATGTCCTTCGACCACAAGAGTCGCCCCACACGCATACGTTCCTCCAGCAATCCCGGACCAACCGAGGCGACATACACCTACAAGTATCACGCACGTACAATATGAGTGTTCGGCGGGGGCGGTGAAAACATATTCCGGAAGAAAAAGGGACAAAATTACTCAATACTTTTTGAATTGGTTCGGCACGAAACAGTAGTGTCGCTCATGGAAAACGACCGCCAGTTTGTCCCTTCCCTTTCTAAGCGTTGGACGACATGAACGGCGAAGACAAGGCCATATGGTGAGCGACTGGAGACTGATGCTCTCTCGATGGAACGAACGTACGTTGCACTACGATTTTACCGTCGGCGATCCACACCGTCTTCGGAGCTGGTTTGACGTGAATCACCTCGTCGCGATCTGCTGGCTACCTGCTGCTTGCGTTGCTGCTGTACTATAGCGATGTTGCCGAGAAGTCCCCTCCATCGCCGCTATATTGGCCTCAGCAAGAAGCAAGAAGCAAGAAGCACCAAGAACTCCATCGACCATATAACGCAGACAGCACAAACAACGTCAGCCACCGACGACGACCGTACCTGCACATTCGACGGCGCCCCCTTGTCCCCCCTCTCTTCCTGGAGCCGCTTCTCCATGATAGTCAGCACGCGCTCGATGCCGATAGACACCCCGACGCAAGGCGTTTGTCCCGAAGCCGAGAACATTCCCACGAGGTTGTCGTAGCGCCCTCCTGCCGCGATCGACCCCACCTGGTGGTACGATAGGCCGATTTCATAAACCAAACCGACGTCGGGGGAGATGACACACGTTGATGGTATGCATTCGAGGAGTCGGACCGCAGTGTTGACAGTGATAACTACGAGTCATCTGCATTATCTCGGGGGTGGGGGATACCAGTCGCATCTCTCGAACAAACGCGATTGCTCTCTTCTGATGGTATGTTCACACTTCGTTCTCGGGACTTGTAGTGTAGCTAGTGTAGCCCGAGGGAAGCCCAACCAGCTTTTGCTTCATACCAGCCTTGAACGGTGCCCTCGTTTGGACGAGACACAGTCCAATGCGAAGGACAACATAAATACCATGGAAATACCATGGTTCAAGCATGGTATTCAATTAACGAAACCAAGCCGACCGGGCACCGCCAAATAACGCAAGGTGCTCTTGTGATCACAACCACATATATATGCATATGCATACAACACTTGAAAGAGAGTTCGCGTTCTCTATCCGCTCTGCCTATTATATGTAGCATCATTGCACGGTCGATGCTACAAAAGACACCCGCACACGCGCACCCTGATGCCGCCGTCAACCACGACGCACTCGTAGATCAAGCCCGTGTAGTACGTCAGCCCCCGTGCCAGACTCAGATCGAAGGAAACGTACTGTTGTTGTGAGAAACAAACGGAACAGGGCGGTGCAGCACGGCGACAAGGGGAGTGAAGTCTCGCTAAAGAGAAAGCCTGAGGCCGCATCTAGGATTACCTCGGCCATCTGGTCTTTACATCGGTCTTAGCTGGGCTGGTCTACCAATCGCGAGTACAAGCGTGGTAGGATGCATGCGTTTCCTTATAGTTGGATGGGTCGGTGGCTGGTCACCCTATTTACGCACTTTGCGTACAGATCTCGTCAACGATGTCAACGATCTCAAGCTATTAAATAGAGTGTTCCTCAAGGCTGTCAAGGTCTCTACAGTGACAAGGCCATGATACACATGATTTCGGACACCAAAAGCCTTGGTCACGAAACAAAAGTAGAGAAGCGTTCTACACTCGACCCTTGTTTTTCAGGGTCATGTGAAACCCCATAGGAACAACACGGGGCTGTCAAGACTGTAGCGGTAAAAACAACGCGAGAAGAACCAGACGTTCATCGAGGTTTGCTGTTGTACACTGTCCCGCGGCAGTAGTAATATTGCGGCGAGAGTCGTCTGATTCGACTATCACGCGCACCTGAAGAGTGCCCATGGCATCCAGGTACTTGAAGAGGAGCTCCAGCTCAGACATGGCAGCCACCGCATCCTGCGGCAATGTTGACAACGACAGGGGGCACCACGGATTTCAGACAATTGGTGAGGGGGCACACCAGCAAACACTCACCTAGTTACCCAACGAAAAACTAGCGGAACAAAATGACGACCGGAAGACGACCGTGCTATCATACGTGCCGTCCAGGACCAGCCCCTACGAGTTCTCTACGTTTCTCCCATTGCATGTCGGGCTTGGTCCAATCATTGAAGCTGCTGCCACCTCTAAATACAGCACCAAAACGACTTTTGTCTCTTGTGCACAGACAAGAGTGAAGACAGGAACCGCTACACGGAAACAACAACGCTATGCATTCGAAGTGAAGAAATAGTAAAATCGCCTCGTATATCTTGATTTCGAAGAGTGTCATCCATCACTCCCTACCTAACAATGTGTGTCTTGGCACCTCTTTTCATTCTGGACGCCAGACTGCACCTTTCGGTAGATATTGAAAAATGTATGTGTGGACGCAAGAGTCGGGCCAACCACATGGGAAAGGCTAAGCATCAGAAAAATAAACAGATGACATACTCTCTGGCCATTTTCCTGGGCGACCCTGGCGGATTCGTGCAAAAGAAAGTGCCGAACATTTATGAAAAAACTGACGTGCAGAATACTTGTGTATCTGGAGATGCACGCACACATTTGCTTCTGGGGGTGCTCGGCCTTGATATTTACAATTATTTCGAGGCCCTGAATAATCTCGTCAAAATAAAGGACTACCGTGACGAGATAAGATCAAACCAAGTCATGCTAGCTGTCTCACGGGGTGGTCGCCGAACTTCTTCTCCTCTGTGAGCTTCGCCCACAGCTCCTTGGCGCCGCCGGCGTTTCCGTTGACGAACCCGCCGATCTTGTCTGCAGAATCCGGCGCCAGCCCCTTCTCTTCCACCATCTCCTGTCGGACCTATCCAATCCAACCCAACCAGCCGGTGGAAGAGCCACCCGACACAATGCACTGCAGTTACGCCCGATGTACACTTGACCATCAAGTTGTAACGGTCGTACATCGTATGTCTTTGCGGTAAAAACTAAAGTACCAATTTGCAGCGCGTACCATGCCGTTGCAGTGTTTGCGTCATCGTGGGTTAGCCCTTGGCTTGTGCGCACTATTTAGCAGGTGCTGATACGGTGTGTCTCAAAGCTATCTCCCACCTCCTCATAAGAGGTCAACCAGGAACCTCGCCGCCCACTTGGGATTCCGCAAGAAGCATGCGCGCAAGAGCTGCAACGACTTCGGCGCTTCGGCGCGAGCGAGTATGTCCTCGCGAAAGTCACGCCACGTATCTCAGCAACATCACACCGCAAAAGGCTGTCGGAAGGCCGTGTGGGAAAAGGAACAGTATATGCATACCTCGGCCCAGTCCATCTTGTCGAGCTTGTCGATGGCCGAACAGATGCTGCGGAACTTCTCGGGAGGGCAGCCACAGATGTCAAGGATAGCGTCCAGCAACCTAGAGCAAAAAAAATAATCCAACACATCACAGGCAGGCGACAGCCATTCAATCAACGATGATGCCACAAGCATTGGCTGGCAACTCCAACGCCCCAATCATTTTATACTTGTAGTGGGGGAGGCATGCGGAAAATAAGGTGGTGCACGTCCAAGTACACTCTCGTGGGAACACGCTCCAATGAAAGATCCGCACACGCCACAAGAGAAGCGGGGACGCATCACAACCAACAAGAAGAACATCCACATCCACCATAACATTCGAACAGGCCTCCGACATGTCTCTCTTGCTTCGCCGCGAGGAAAAAATCAACAAACGTGTTGGGTTAAGGTCCCGACTATCTGAGCTCCATGCCTTGGGCGTACTGCACAAAAAGAACGATGGGCGCTCATGTGTCCCTCGAGAAACCACACCCTTCGTGCGGGGTTTTCCCGTACATGCCATACCCTACCCTACCATACCATACCATCCAGTATTATACGGTACCTGCGGTGGTTGAGCTTGATCTGGAAGTTTCCGATAGGAAGCGAGCTCAGGATCTCACACGCCACGCTGAGCACCTCCGCGTCCGGCACCATGAGCCCTAAACAACAGCACCACCAGCGCCACCACAAAACCAAGAAAGTTGTTGTGACACAACACATGATAAGTATATTGCACTTTCGCGTGTTGGAAGTGACAAGGTAGGCAGACAACTACCCTTTACGTAGGTCTCTAGATCTGTTTAGCATACTAGGACCATCTCTTACCGTAGTTGCCGGCGATATCGAAATCGCACTGGTAGAACTCGCGGAAACGGCCGAGCTGTACGTTGGGCTGATCTCGCCGGTACACCTGATATTCAAAGGCGGGGGGGGGCAGGTAAGTCAGCGGGGAGTGTGAAAGTTCAAGATATCTCGTCGCCAACCAGCTTCCTCCCCTCTTCGCACACATCTAGATGCGACACATCCGGAGTATGTATCGGAAAGACACAAGTCTCCTCAAGGGTGGCATCGTAAAAGACAACCCAAACGGCGTGAGCAGCAAAACGGCCCAAAGCAGAAAAAAAATGGCCAAGGACAGCAGTGGTCCTACGCGACGCTACATACGGTACGGCATGTATGGCACCGGTATCACTAATCTCCGCAGAGCACTGCCCGGGAAGCCCACAGCATGATGTTTGTTTACCTTGGCAATGTGGAATCGCTTGATGTTACCGACACCGTGCAGAGCGAGGTACCTCGCGAAAGGCACGGTCAGGTCGTAGCGCAAGGCCAAGAGCTCGCCACCCTGATCCGCCAGGTCGTAGATGAGCTTAGAGTCCTCGCCGTACTTCCCTGTAAGCGTCTGTGAGACCGGCAAGCACGAATACGATAGACGTGCGAACGGGACACCTTGGTGTGGGCGAGCGTACATAGGAGAGAGAGAGAGAGATGCACAGCAGTACAAGCCTCTTCATGCGCCGCAATCAATCATTGTCCCCAACACTGCAGCTATCACAAAGGCTAGCTTTAACATGAATGGACACGTCACTTCTACTGCCCTGCGATACATTCGTAGACAAAGGGCCTGACTGACTGTGCACGCCAACGGTCAATATCGCACCCAACAACCACGTACAAGTAGAGGTGACGGCAACGGCGCCCGTCGGAATACACACATACATACCTCCTTGAGCTCGAACACGGGCGTGTCGATTTCCACCGCCCCGTGACGCTTGAACACGTTACGGATCGCTGTAAAGGCTTGCTCTCGAACGCGCATCTGACACCGATTCACCGATGCGAGCCGCGGTGTCCATCGCGCGACAAAACGAACGAGGAGAAGAGAGAGGACGAATTCATCGCGACGTGTTTCAACTGGACTCTTTACAGCAGTGCCACACTCTGGGCTGCTGCTGCTGCTGCTGCTGTTGAAACACTTTCGATCTCGCGCGTGCTGCTGTCATGCGGTACAGTTTGGCAAGAGGCGGCGGTCATTGACTCCGCCTACGAGCTTGCGCTCTCTCTATAATAGCAGCCTTCACAAGGAGGCAAGGCTCTTCTCGTGCCACGCTCCCTGGCAACCCATCGATGCGACGTCCAAGCTCTAGAGTTCGCACGGGGGTGTGCAGACCTCTGCAAAGTTCCGGGGTACTGTACTTGTACTGCTGTACGGCCTGCTTGGGGTTTCCTATTGTAATACCTGCTCGGGCAAGAAGTCCCTGGCTCCCTTGGCGATCTTCGGCTTGCGCTGGGCGCCGCCATTGCTCAATCGCTCCGCCATGGCACACAAGAACGGGCCCATCGCTTGCTGAGACCGTGTGCGACACAGGACAACAAGCGGCAAACAAGGGGCGAAAATCAACCTATTGTAGGACCATGGACGGTGTTTCACGGAATAGGGGCGACACAGCAAAGCAAAGCAAAGCAAAGGACATGTATATTATGCATAGGGCATGTCGACAACTAACGAAAGAGCCGCCATCCCTCCCTCTGCACAACCCTCTGTGCCAACTCAACCATCGGCCAGAACCCGATGCGCTATCGATAGAACAGCAAAAAACACTAGCAGCGCCACAATGTGAGTGTGGACGCTGCGCATCAAAACCAAGCATACCCGAAATGGCCTTCACTCGCCACCACGGAAGAAAACGTGCACCTTGAAAGCGAGAATCCCTTAACTTTGACCTTCACGACAGCGGTTCCACGCACCACCCCCGTCTCACCTCTCCCGTCCGGAAGGGGTCAATCTTCGCCGCGATTTCGTCCGCCCCTACAGCAGCGGCGGCCCCAGCGGGCGCCACCCGCTGCTTCAGCTCCGCACACCCCACCCCGAGCCCGGCGGCCTTCTTCTTCTCCTTCTTCGCGGCGCCCTTGGCCGCCGCTTTCGCCGCCTTGGCCGCACGCTTGGCCTCGATCTTGGCGATTTGTGCGGCGGACATTCCGGCCGTGTCGACTCCACCGCCGGGGGCGCCTGACTGCGGCGGCTGGTTTCCTCCACCTTTGGCGGGTTTCTGGGATGTTGAGTGGTGGCATGCAACAGGAGAGAAATTGGGTATGATCCTCAACCAGCCAAATAGCGCTCATGCGAAGTGTAAAAAGCTGGTAGTGACCAACGAAGGCATAGTGAGAGCATGGCGCACACGTGCGGGCGTGTGTGACCTTGGTTTCTCTTCGATTGATTCATTGATTCATTGATTCCCTCCCTCCTCGTGGTGGCCGTCGAGTCGGTCTTTTGCCATGTTGCAGAAGAATGTTGCTTACGTCAGGCGCGAAATGGCGCCCATTGGGGAGAAAAAACAAGGCAGTCCACAGCGCTCATCCATGACAACAGGAAACAACAAGCGAGATACGAACGCTACAGAGCCAAGCAACGCACACATGTACTTTGGTTTTGACTTTGACCGTTACATACGAGAGGCGCAACTCACGCTCGACACCCCTGCAGCCGCAGCCGCCTTCTCTTCTTCCTGCCGCAACACCGCCACCGACAACGCCATCTCTTCGGCAAGAGCTGACTGCAGCTCCCGCAGCACGCCCTCCACCCCGAAAACATCACCCCCGCCGCCGCAGCTGCTAGCGCCGTTCGCGCTTCCTTGCAGCGCCTGCGACCGCTCCCTGCACCCGCTGGTCAAGACCCTGACCGCCTCCGTCAAGAAGGTCGCAGTTAGCTCGGTCTGTCCAGCAAGGAGAAGGAGAACAACGAGGGACAAGCAATCGAAAGGGCGCGGATCGATTGATTCTTGGGTGGATTTCCGGCAGGTGCGGAGGACGGACAAGGGACAAGGGAGACCATAACCCGAAGGCATGCAGGGGGGACGACAGTTGGGACGGGGAAAAGACAGCCCGCCCTGTAACCCCCGCCTTCGGCACGGGTCACCCATGCGATCTACAACTCCGTCGTATGCAAACAACCACAAAAATTCAAGCATGCTGGCCCACCCGTCACAGAGGCAACAGCAGCAGTGCACTTCGAGCTAACGGCTGAAGTCAAGAGATGATTAACCGACCTGCTTCCCATCGCGAGGCTGAACACAACCGTCACCAACGCCGAGGGGCCCAGCATCCGAACCATTGAACTCAGTCATGATGGACCTGGAGCGACAAACGGGGATAGGGCTCCACAGGGTGAAAACAAGGCTGGCGCTCGTGCTGGAGGTCAATCACGACCACCACCACCTCCATATGCGTTACCTACGGTTGAACCAGGGGCATCAAATCGAAGGCCGCTTGATGCCATTGCTGTACGTTCAGCTCGTTTCCGAGAAAACGGGTGATTTATTGACACGCCCCCTAAGCGACCACCCGCTCGAACAATGACGTCATCGCAAGATGTCCACCCCCTTCCCCTTCTCGGCGTTCGCCGGAAACGAGACCGAACACAGCGGGGCCTCTGTGGAGGCAGGCAATGCCGCTACCCGATATCGCACCTTCTATCTCGCTGAAACGTCCCTACTCACGTTGGCTACATTGTATGCATAACTCGGTTGCCTACTGTAGCTTGGTTGGCGGCTGCTGTCCTTACCTGCCGGCTGCAGCGATAGCGTCTCGGGCTGGACCGTGGTACTGCGGGATGGTGCTTATCGCCTCAGGGTCCACTGTACTGTCACCCTGTACGTGCAGTCAAGAAGGAAAGAGCGAGGATCGTGTAGAGGGCAAAGCGGGTTGACGGTTGTCGGGCGAGGGATGAAAGCCTGACAACCGTGGCGGTGACCGTCGGAGAAGCTATTATTATAGGGACTTCCCCTTGTTCTCTTGCGCTTGACTTGGTTACGGTTTGGCGTTGGCGTTCCCGATGGGCGCACCTCCGAATGCACAAGATTTACCCAGCCAACCACAAGAGCACATGCAAGAGCCAGTCCCTGGAACAGCTGTCAGACACGCGCACGTAATAGACATGCAAGGATCCAACAACAAGTTGCGCGCGGGTGGACAAGGATTCTTTGGTGAGGATGAACCGCTAATCTTAAGGTTGCTCGCCTTTGTAGAGTTGGCGGACTTGGAGCCGTCGAGCATGAGCCGCAGCCTATCGGCGCAAGCGATCTGTCCCCGGTGAGGCCGGACATCGAAGTTGAGGGCGTCGAAGGGGGCGGTGTTGGCACGGGTTGCCTCGCAGGTGAGGGCCGCAACGCCTGCCCAAGTGATTCAGGACAGGAAGGAGATGTCAGTTTTGGTCTTGACGGGAGGAAAGGAGATACAGTAGTCCTATGGGCGATGTTGATATGGATGGAACCCTCCTCGTGGTTGATTGGGGGCACGAACACGGCATTATTTACTCAAGCGGCCTTTTATACAAAACTCGGATAACGCCTGTACCAAGCCTCTGCTAGACATCGGAGATGCCACGTGTTCAAGTGGGAGATAGACAAAACCATGCATGTGCGGCATAATTTATAGGTAAATGACTTTCCAACGCACGCCAAGAGACGCAAACAAACTAACTTCAGCACCGTCCGTGTCACACACTACGAACATGGCATGTCAAATTGAGGTCTCACCGTCTGCAATCTCGATAGCATTGGAGGCGGCCGCAGCAGCCACGGCGGCCGTGCCGATCTGATCAAAGCGGCCTAGCTCCAACGTGCTTCCTTCGCGGCCGGTCAACGTCGAAAGCGGGGACAGCTCGCAGCTCGAGAGCACCTCCAACAATGGCCTGCCCGTAGTCACACATCGGCCACGACACCGTGAATGTCGCACCCAACTTAGGAGATACGTTTTGTCAGGCTATGCACACCACGTTATACGCTCGACATGCTACGTATTTACGTAGCATCAGCATCATCCGAGCTGTCAAAGCCACGAAGGGTAAGGAGAGTCGTGCTGCACAGTGTGAGGTAGCGTCGTGCTGTTGCTGGACAGCAGAACGATCCCAGCAGCCCGTAGGGCGAGGCACTCGCCACCACATCGGACCCTACGCTACATAGCTCTAGTTGGTGTTATGCCTAACTGTCTTCAGAATAGTCCCCAGACGTTCCAACTGAATAGCACCGATCGAGAGTTGGAGTGAGTGAGGTCTCGGTGGAGATCTGTAGTATGCCAATCTTACCAGTACCACGTTTTGCTCCGGCAAGAACAGGCAAGATATCAATCTGCACGCTCACAACTGTTGTAGTCGAGAGATATCACCGGCTAGTTACTGGAGACGAGGCTTCCAGCATGGAAGTAAACGCACCTTACTTCTCCCTTGAACAAGCACGATCCCGCTCCGAGCACCGCTCTGGCTAAGGAAGGACCTTCGCCCCCGTCCTTCGGGAGCAGGGGCGTAACCCCGTTGTTGAGCATGTCGCACAGGAGCGTCAGCACCTCCGGCCGCAAGCCGGAACGGCCGTTCATGAGAGACACGACCCTCGCGAAGATAGTGGCGCGGGCTGCGGTCTCCGAACGGGAGGATTCGGCAACGGTCTCGCCAGCTCCATCACTGACCATGGGTGAACATTTGCCGTTGCGACCGAGGGACAGGAGAGGGGTTGGGGGTATGCACAGCGATGCAAGACAGCAGCAGTGTTGCGTTGCATGGTAAAAGTCCAACTGTAGAGCCAAAGTCAGTGCCACATGTGCGAGCCCAATCACTGCAATCGGCAACGAAGCGTAGGAAATAGCACCAGCACCGGCACCGAGACGGCATTTAACCATGGAGTTGATGGTCATGATGGTGCCAAGCACTGCCGCATAGCCAACAGAGCCAGCGCCAGGAAAGGTCTGCGGGCTCCGCACATCAATCAATGCGTGGCACACCGAATCCACAAAGACAGGCAAAGCAGCAAGGATGTTACATCGAAGACGTCTCGCAGGCAATGATGTCTCGCCAGTCATGCGCACCTGACTGCAAAGGCCTTGTCTCCGCCGCGGGATGGGGTACTGGGTACTGGACATGCCTTGTCGAGGGATGCCGGGTGTAGGTCAACCCTAGCGCCGTGCACGGCCACCAGCAACACGTCCTCTGGAAGAACCTTCCTCGCTCCCACTGACACGGCCAGAGCAGCTGATCCTTCCGACGCCATCTTTGGTGCTGGTCGGGTGCTCTCAGCAAGAGCCCTGCTGCTGCTGCTGCTGCTGCTACCGCCACCGCCCAGTGGTTTTGATGCTGCGGTGTTCTGGGCTGTTTTCGGCCAGTGGACCTTGCTGCAGCTTGAACGGGCGCCGAAGACAAAGAATCTATCTGTCTGCTGTACCTCTACGAGACCCAAAGCCATCCACACTTACTCGAACAGCTGCACGTGCGTAAAGGTAGAGCGCAACGAGGGAGCTGTGTGCTAGCAACTGCTGTGATGTGTTGTGCGCTGAGCAGCGACGCCCCTTTGTCCGGAGCTGGGGCTCCGCAGATTCCTTCACGAATCCACGGAGACCCCAGTGGTGGGTTGAGAGTTGAGCGAGGGAAAGCGGAAACGAAACCTGAAACACTGTGATGTTGGTATGTTGGTGTGTATGGTGTAGGAAATTGGTGGAGGGTGTCACTGCTGCTACATGTTCGCCGGCATAGTTAGTAGAACCCTAGCACAGCAGCCATGCGAACTTTGATCTCCTTGACTTCGTTCCACCCGCGGATACCATCGACCATTTTTTGGATATTTGTTCGTGGGAACCAGCGAACACATGCTATGCAAGAGAAACTCAATCAACCACCGACCACACCCTGTGATCCAGAGTGCGATAATATGTGAGAGGTTGAGTTGTTGCGTAGGGTTGTTGAATCCTAACGTCGCCCTATATTTGTTGTCTGAGAAAAGGTATCGACTAACTCCCGTGGAAAAAAATGACTTCACCACCGGGCGGGTGTATGTCCTGCTGTGTGTTGTGTGTGGTGTGGTGTGGTGTGGGGGGGCGGGGTGTTATCCCGACCATACAATATGTGGGTGTGTTCTTGTGCCGAATACGGCGGGGTGGGGAGCCCACCCACCCGAGGCACTCACTCACACACTCGGTGCGCAAACAGCAATTTGAGACGGGAGTGAGGTCCATTGGTTATGCGGTAAAACAGAGAACAAGGTGTGCGTGGGATATTTTGATATTTTCAGACCCCCACCCACTTCGTCGACTGCTAGAATGAATTATTAGCCGGATGGTTGATGCGTTCGTGGTGCCTGCCCGACATACGACACACGCACATACGCATATCACCACTCTTCCCATCTGCCACTTGCTTGCGCGCCCTCTGATTGGTCGAGCGTTGGTTTGGGCGGTCGATTTCTCTCAAGCGCCCTCTCCCTATTCCGCATTCCGAAAACGCAAGACCTGCGTGCAACTAACGACGAAATGCAGTTCTACCATGTGGACTTCGCTCGATATCGAGTACGAGAGACACTCCGGGCACACAACAATTTAATGTTAATGTCTACCCACACAGGAAAAAAATGGCCTCCGCAGCATGGCAGTGCCGAACATCAGGGCGGTGGACGATACCCTCCCGTCCAACAAAATATTAGGGGAAACGCGTGAGAGAATCAAGTGCTCCCAAAAAAGGCACGCGTCGAAAATCTCAATTTGCTACGTATCATACAAGTCATGCAAAAGCCCCACACCACCTCAAATGCAACAAACACCTCTGTATCAGATAGTTTCACATCCAGCGTGGAACCTCATCTCTAAGTTCTTGACTTGGTCGATCCTACAAACTTGCGGCATCGCGAATACGCAACATCGTTCGATCCCAGACACGATCGATCCCATCGTTTATCGCTATATACCGTCTAACCCAGGAATTAAGAAAAGTCTCAGCTCTAGAGCCCATCTACGACTCAAATGGATGCACTGAAAGAGTGCTGCTGCGTCTCAAGGCTGCAGTATTGGTGCACCACACAAGGCTTCTTCCAACTACATGGTTCGTCATGAAAACGTGGCAAAACAAACCAAAAAACAAATCAATCTCTAGAAAAGGAACGGAAACTGGGGACCGGGAGTGGGTTCCTATGGGAGGTCTGACTACTGAAAACAAGGCTATAGCACAAACCGTGAGCGGCTCTACACAAGTCAGGGACCCGAAAAAGACTGCGGTATGTCCAAAAGACCGGCACTTCCCAAAGACTGCCAAACCCGCGGCAACTTCTCGCCAGCAAAAACAAAATTACAAGGATGCGCTCAGCGCTCAGTACCCCGGCTATCCATACATTGTACGACTCGTCGACGACGGCCTCAGATGAAGTACGAGTGGGCGCCCCCGAGCACATCATCGAACGTGTCGAGCTGGTCCCGCGAGAATCGTGCCTTGTGGCTTTCCTCCCACTTGTCCTGGTGGGTGCGACGGAACTCCTTGAATGTGTGCGTCACCTGCAGGTCGGGAAAAGGTACAGTGCAACCCCGTCAAACGCGCAGCGATGGTTTCGTTATCGTCCTGCGGAGAGATCGTTGTAGCCGAGGCAAACATTTCTCTTGGTACAGCGGTCCACGCAGCGTCATGTGTAAAAAAATACAGAATGAATCGCACACGAGAGTACCCGCCTTTCGTGCAGTGGAACAAAATAAACTTGTTGAGCCACATTTCTAAACCATGCCACCGTCCGTGTTCATGTGGTTTTTACTCTCGAGCTTCAATGCTTCGGAGCATCGCGTACGACCAAGCCAACGCACAGACACCTGCCAGGCGAAATCAAATCATGCGGCGTGGACTGCCCCCTTCGCTCACCGTCTGGCGCACAGGAAGTCTACCGGGAGATTCGTCGTTGACGTGTTTGGCGAGGCTCTCCAGAGCCCCAGGCACCCACGGCGGGGTGTCGCACGGAGCCGCCAGCACCACAGCCGACAATCCCAGCACATTTCTCTGCTGCTCTTGCATCGCGCCCGACGGCTCCCCCGCGGTCACGGCCACGCCATTGCCTCCCGCCGCGGCCTGGCGCTTCGCGACCCTCCTCCGCTTCTTCCTGCTGGCCGCCGCGCTGTCGGCGCCGGCGGCGAAAGTCTCGCAGAGCTCGCGCGCCCGTTTGGCGGTGAGGTGGGCTACCCTGGTCGATAGGGCCAGGCGGGCGGTCTCCTGAACCTCTCGCCGGTCGTCCCCCAACAGGGAAACGACAGTAGCGTCCACGGCGCCGTGCTGTGCGTCCGTCAGGACGAAGTGCAGCCTCGTTTGCAGGACGCACGCCACTGCGGCTGCGCCGCGCCGGACCCTCCAGGACGACTGCGAAGAGCACGCCGCGAGCACGGCGTTTATTACGCCGCCCGCCGTGGCTGGGTCGTCGTCGGCGCTTGCCCCCTTCGGGCTGCGGGCGGCGAGGGCGGCAGCGCTCGACAGGCAAGTGCCACGACCCATGCCCGCGACCTCCGCGTTGGAGTCGCGGGTGCACCGTAGAGCCACGGGCAGGAGGGCCACGAGGATCGGCAGGTATCTGACGTGGTCGCCTGTTGAAAAAAACACACGAGGTGTAAAGGGTACACGCTTACATGTGTGGTGTGTTGATCGAGCAAGACCCAACGCATATGCTACGCTACAGCAGTAGTAGCGGTGCACAATGGGTTATTGCCATAATATAGATGGTCGTTTCGGAGAATCTCGCCGCACAGTCTTTTGTTCATTTGTGAGGAAAGAAAAAAAAAATGACCACGCGAACGTATTATCTATCCCTTGGACAACCTCGCCGATTGTGCTGTCTGCAGTAGACCTTCCAGTACACAGATGACCAAGACACTCCAAGCGATCAGCCCACCTGCGCCTGCAGTCTGGTGAAGCCACTGCAGCACCGTTTCCCTCCGCAGCGATAGATGCTTCGCCGCACGACTAGCCGCCTCCTCTTGCTTGGCGGTCAGGGCGCCGTCTGACATGGCCATCGCGCTGGCGAGAAGCGCACTGTCCGCTCTCTCCTCTGCGTCGGGTTCATCCTGGACCGCATAGGACAGGGCAGGACATGCGTCAGATAACGGCAAAGCCATGGCGTTGGGCAAAGAGAGACAAGGGGGAGCATGCGCGGGGCAAGAGAAGCATAGAAGCACTCGCGAAGCAATCGTTTGCACAGAACGGCGTGCTTCCAACAAGGGCACGCATCATTTGCTAGACGACGACGGGTGCAAGCCTGCGCAAACATGTCTTCCCACCGTCCCGCCATTGACGATCTGGATTAGGTTGGGTCATTCGTGCCTGGGCAAAATAGACCATTATCCCTCTTGCCCACACACAAACATGAACGCTAAAATTACACACAAAACTGAACGAAAACAAGGGCGATTGACAAATTGGTAATTTCGTCCCCCTGGGGCTCTAGAATGCACCGCACGCACCGCGACCGATAGCGCCGCGATTGCGATTGCCACGTCTTGCTCTCCGTCCCCATTCTTGACTTGCTCGACCGTAACCGCCTCGGCGAGAATAGATTCCCGAACTTCGTCGGCTATGCCCGCGGCCCACGCAGAATCGGTGACATGCGTACACAAAAAGAGATTCCTGCAAGACGAGGGGGGTGGGGCGGAATCAAGAGCAGGTTTCGCACATGCGAAGCAGTCGAGGTGGTAAAATATGAAAGCCTTGCATCGACGCGGACCAAGAACAGACTTGACACGAATCCACTCCCATGCGGGCACTTCTACATGTTGCTCTAGCTGACACGAACGACACCCTAGTCAAGGTTTAACGCCCCCATGGACACTTTAAATCATTTAGTGGGTGTTTTCTTCATAACCTCACTCCTGCAATAAACCATCGGAGGCCCCAACGCAGCACGATGTCACAAAAAAAAAGTAGGGTAGACCGTCGTAGCTCTTGCTTCAAAACCGTACACTACGGAGGATGTGTCATGCCCCTACCTGGCGATCTCCTCTCTGCAAGCCTTGAACGGGTGGTCAAGCCCTTCGACCAACAGCGGACACATCTCCTTGGCGATGCTCGCAGCTCGTTCTGTTGATGCTTGGCGCCCCGACAGCTCGATCATGACTGCTCCCAAAAAGCTCAGCCACGCCACCTGGGACAACCAAAATATATATTGGCAAACGGGGGCCGCCCAACATGCCGATACTTAATTCCTATACGCCCTCGTCAAAGTAATTTGTTGCGCAAGCTCTCGTGAGGCACAACAAGCCTGCT